AAAAAAAATATATATATATATATATATATATATATATATATATTGTATTAATAAAAAACCCACTATAAAATAAAATAGAAAAAAAGGAATATTTCATAATGTTTAATTCACAATGTATAATTAATGTAAAATATAGCATAATATGCATAATTCACTATGTTAAATATAGCATAATACATAATTTACGTAAAATGTAGCATCATTTATTATATACATAATAAATAAAAAAACAAATTAATAATATTAATTCGGTACGGGTCTTTCGGTTTGGTACGCATGTGTACCAAACAAATCGTTCCATTTTTTAAGTAAATTCAGACAATAAATGCTGTTTTGGCGCTCTTTGATGTGGCGCGACAGATCGCTGTATAAACGCCTCAGTTCTGAGAGCAGCGTGGAGCGCGAGTGAGAGTGATCACCCCCTTCCTCTTTATTACTAGCTTTAACGCGAAATAAACATGAATGAATGTCTCACCCCTCACGTAATCGCTCAATTAGTGTTTTAACTGCAGAAAGACGTCATTACAACAGCTTGTAAACAAAATGTCACGTAGCATTTAATTTACCTCAGTCAAGTTATCAGTGTCTACAGCTTGTTATTTGCTAGAGAAAAGAACATTTTGCGAAATATACTAATAGACTATACGAAATAGACTATACTTCATTATATTTACTTTACCTGTTAGTGATGTCTTAATTATTTAATGTATGTTTAAATAAATATTTTATGAAACAAGCTATGACTCTGTAAACTATTATATTTCAACAACAAATAGAAATTGTATAATTTAGAGGTTAATTAAAAAAATTACATGTTTGCATACATTTTTTTTGTGTGTTGATTATATAGTTAAAAATGAATAGTAATTGATTTTAACCTTATAGTAACCTTATAGTAATGTAAAAGGGCTTCCTATAGTTTAGAGCAAAAGCTGAGGTAGATTTTTATTCCCAAGAAATTTTTAATTATAATTGAATTTATTTAAAGAAAGAGCAATTTGTTAAGTAAACCATTGTTAAAGGGGTCATACGATGCGATTTCAAATTTTCCTTTCTCTTTGGAGTGTTACAAGCTGTTCGTGCATAGATAAGATCCCTAAAGTTGCAAAGACTAAAGTTTCAAACCCAAAGAGATATTCTTTATAAAAGTTAAGACTTGTCCACACCCTCCTAAAACGCCTCGTTTAAACACGCCCCCACATGTCTACGTCACTGTGTGGGAAGATTTGCATAACACCGCCCAAATGTTCACGCAAAGAAAGAAGGCGTAACTTTTATTCTCACTGTAGTATTGTTGCTGCCGCCGCCATGTCGTGAAGACGCTGTGTGTTTCGCTGTGAAAGTGAAACTACTTTGTTTGGTCTTCCAAAAGAGGACGATATCTGCTTTGTCATGCCTAGAGCTGATCCGTGCTGGTCGCTGAGGAAATATATCAACTTCACACTGTGGATCGCCGGATCGGCTTTCACCGTGGACGAAGCGGAGTCCAGCCCGGGGTCATCACATGTGGTTGCCGTTCTCAAGCCCACCGTGTGTGTCGATGTGTGTTTCGTTGTGAAAGCGAAAATACTTTGTTTGGTCTTCCGAAAGAGGACACAACTAGAAATCGGTGGTTAAGTTGTATTTACAACACTGTTCCAGAACAGTTCAACCCAAATATTCAGATGTGTGCAACGCATTTTATGGAGGACTGTTTCCTGAACCTGCAGAGTAACGTTAGCCTACAATGGGTCTGTGCTCAAAGACTGTTTCTATAAAGTTGGGCAGTTCCAACTTTGCAAGGACAGTCTGGCGCTTCTGACTCACAGCCTGCAAGTACGTTTTTTTTTATACTTAAAGTATTTGCCACTGACGATTCAAACGAGAGTTTTGAGCAGTGTAGTGCTTGTTGTTTGTCATTTCTCCGGTCACAAATGCAGACATGGTTTTATGTTTACGTGGCGCGATACGCAACACAGCGCGTAAAAAGACAGAATAAGTCATTATAATCAGTAGTTATGTCCCCACTGGATGCAACAAATGCCTCGTTTTTAAAGTAGGTCTCCAGTAAACTGGGAGAAGAGCAGAGTAAACTTTATAGTTACCTACACAATCTGTATATGATATCGATAAAAACATGTTGTCAGATTATATTTTTAAGGATCATTATTGCCGTTTCCATAGACATCAGTGTGTATTTTCACTGTAAATGTATGGTTTTGCTAGTACTTATGTGTATTTAAATGTCTGAAACCTAAAATAAGTATTATATGGTTGAAAACAATGAATATTTGTGATAATATGACAAGTGCTTAGCGCATCCGATCTGCCTCTGCTCCAGGCAAAGCGCGAAAGCGGATTTAAATTCAGCAGTTGATGACGTGACGCACTGAAAGTTCTGATCACACCGGTGTGATCGTACGCTTCAGGGACCAGCCAAGACTGATCACACCAGTGTGATCACACGCGTCAAAGGGTTAAACCACATAAACACATTGCATTACTCCAAATACACAAAATAATGTTCTTTTTAGCAACGTCATATGTCCCTTTTAAATAAAAAAACAAAACAATTTTAGTTTTTTTCCTCCTGTTGTACCGAAACCATACCAAACCGTGACGTCAAAACCGAGGTACCTACCGAACGGTCATGTTTATATATATATATATACACACAATACCATACAATATAACAATGTGTCATTGGTAATATGTAATTAGTATAATTAATAATAATAATTTTTTACGCAAATATGCATAATGTAAAATATGGTGTATACATACAATACGGGTCTAATTAATAATATGTAAAATAGAGAATTTTATTCATAATATATATATATAGTTTATGTAAAATTCAACATATACAGACACAAAATTGTTTAATTCATAATATATAGCTGATTTAATTTACTATAATTGATAATATATACATATGTACAAAGTAAACTATAGTGACATAAAAAATATATAATTTATAATATATAATTGAAAAAAAATATATATAAATAAAACTAAATCACGTTACCTGCTGCTGTTTGACCTCCATCTCCTTCAGCTGCTGTTCAGCCACCATCTGCTTCTCCCGAACCTTGTTGAGCTCCTCGTCTTTGGCCTGCATTTCCTCTTCCTGTCGGCTCACCTGCAGCAGCGGCTTCACCTGAAGCACACACACACACACACACACACACACACAGCATACCTTTGGAACACATGTCAAGAATAACAGCGCATTTGAACATATGTGCGTGTTTTATGAACCTTAGTGAAGAGTCTCCACCACTGCCAGTTCCTGAGCTTCAGATACGCAGCGCAGTTCCTCTGGATCACCCTCATGGCTGTCAGCTGCTGCTGCCTCTTAGCGAACGCCCTGAACGACAAACACACACCGTTACATACCACAGGACAGCGATAAAAATGGACTATGGACTTTAGTTCATGTGCAGGTCTAGATTCTACATTATATATGACAAAAATTCCAGCAACTACATCGCACCCCAATACCCTGGTAACTATTAAACCCAATAAACTGGGTAAGAACATAGCAATACCCTAGTAACCCCCCAGAACACCATACAAACGGGCTGAGAACAACATAGCAACACCCTAGTAACCACTAAACCTAATAAACTGGCTAAGAACAATATAGCAACACCCTAGCAACCAGTAAATCCAATAAACTGGCTAAGAACAACATAGCAACACCCTAGTAACCATTAAACAAAATAAACTGGCTAAGAACAATATAGCAACACCCTAGCAACCAGTAAATGCAATAAACTGGCTAAGAACAATATATCAACCCCCTAGCAACCAGTAAACATAATAAACTGGCTAAGAATAACACATCAACACCCTAGTAACCACTAAACTGGCTAAGAACAATATAGCAACACCCTAGTAACCACTAAACTGGCTAAGAACAATATAGCAACACCCTAGCAACCAGTAAACGCAATAAACTGGCTAAAAACAATATAGCAACACACTAGTAACCACTAAACTGGCTAAGAACAATATAGCAACACCATAGTAACCACTAAACTGGCTAAGAACGACATAGCAACACCCTAGTAACCACTAAACCCAATCAACTGGCTAAGAACAATATATCAACACCCTAGCAACCAGTAAACATAATAAACTGGCTAAGAACAACACATCAACACCCTAGTAACCACTAAACTGGCTAAGAACAATATAGCAACACCCTAGCAACACAACACACTACAAACTGGCTAAGAAAAACATAGCAACACCCTAGCAACCACCCAGAACACCGTAGAAACTGGCTAAGAGCCACATAGCAATGTTCCTCCAACTGATACCAACTGCGTCTGGCTAGCAAGAACTCATCAGCAAATCATTTTGTCACTAGATAGTGCACAAAATGTTCTATTTTCAATGTTGAGTGAATATTGTGTAAAATAATTGTTCATTTGACTTCAGCAGCTTTATGCATCTCATTAGCTGTCATTAAACTCTATAACATGCGTCGTGACACTCACTTGCGGGCAACGTATCCACGGCACCAGGCCTGGAAGTTAATGATGACGTCTGTGATCTTCATATCACGCTCCTCCTCCAGGTGAGCCAGAACTCCAGCACGGAAAAACACTTTGCTCTGTCCGATCCGGTACAGGTTGGGATCCAGCTCCAGCGCTTTGATCTGACACACAGATGAACCTCAGTTTAGGAAACTTAAAATAAAGTAACTTAAAACCAGTTTATTTCACTGTAAAACTAGTCTCACCATCAGCACGCAAGCCTGTTTGCCATCCATGAATCCCTTGGGAATGGAGTTGGGCGTGAGGATTTCATACCTGAGTGAAAAAACACAAACCAATGCTAACATCAATGGAAACACACAATCAGGTCTAACACTAGTAAGAACTAATTCAATGAGAATCATATACGAAGAGAATAAGATTCTTAAGAGGAATATTTAAGGAGTTTATTCTGAAGAACTAATTGATTCATGTGAAAAGTTGCACTCAGAGAAAGCAGCAAACCTCTGTCTGAACTCCTGGAAGACGATGCGGTTGGGGAATCCCTGTCTGCAGATACGGATTCCTTCCAGGACACCATTACACCGGAGCTGATCCAGAACCAGGTGAGGGTCCAACTTACCAGCCTGAGACACAAAACGCAAACGTTTATGATGAATTCAGGACAATTTTGTTTTTTTTATGTGTACTGTGCGCTCAACTTACATGCCGGCCACCTTATCCAGACCCACGATACGGTCCACTGAGAGACAGACAGACAGACACAGAGACAGACAGACAGTCACTGAGCTGTAAGAGCTTCGTCTCAGGCATGCAGTCTGGTCATGATGTGAAAACTGCCCACAGTTCAGTGGGTCAAATACACGTCAGCACTGGTGACAAACAACAGACACACACGATGCTGGTGAAGAGTGTGGGGGGGGGGAGGCACACGGGAAAATGATCCAAATCAATGCAGTGCAGGTGACACGTACATGTGTGTGTGTCATCTTTATGTATGTGTGTGTGTGTGTGTGTGTGTGTGTGTGTGTGTGTGTGTTCAGGGGTACAAAATAAACACCTCGTGCGTGTGTGTGTGTCATCTTTATGTATGTGTGTGTGTGTGTGTGTGTGTGTGTGTTCAAGGGTCCAAAATAAACACCTCGTTCGTGAGAACACAAGTTGAACTGAATGACACAGATTTCAGAACAATAATCACAAACAATTCATTCTGCCCGTGTTTCATGAATGAGGCTCAACGAGCACAAAATAAGAGTGAAAATTCACTTTGGTAAGTAATTTTTTGTTTTTGTTATTTTTTTATTGGTCAGAAAGGAAGACGACAGAAAAAGTAATTGAAAGAAATTATTGCCATAACTCCAATGATGCATGTTATGCACTGTATTCACACTGGGTGTTATTAACTGAGTAAAGTTCAAAAGCAGGGCTATTATCATTAACTAAAAATGTTAACTAAATCGATCATACAAATTAAATATTAAGAAATTAAAATGGGTAAAAAAATAAGATATATTAAAATTTAACAAAAACACACTAATAAATCGACAAAAGCACATAAGAAAAAAACAAATCCTGAATTTAAATGAAAACTGAAATAAATTCCATCCACAAATACATTGTAGAAAGTGTGTTTTATCTATAAACATTATTAACAGTAATACATTAATTGCAAATTAAAAAAAAACATATTCATGCCAAACATAAATGCATTAAGATGTAGTACACTAAACAAAATTTAAGCAGAAACGTGCGCACGGGCGCACCCCACACTTTGAGAACCACTGATCTAGACTATTTTTGACCATCTTGATCCAGCTAATGACTATTTTTTAACCAGTTGGGAACACATAATAACCACTTTGAACCAGTTTAGACCAGCTAATGACTATTTTTGTCCAGCTTGGATTAGCTAATGAGCATTTTCATCCAGTTTGGACAAGCTAATGGCCATTTTAACCAGTTTAGACCAGCTAATAACCACTTTGAACCAGTTTAGACCAGCTAATGACCATTTTTGTTCAGCTTGGATGAGCTAATGACCATTTTAATCAGTTTAGATCAGCTAATAACCATTTTGAACCAGTTTAGACCTCCTAATGACTATTTTGACCATCTTGGTTCAGCTAATAACAATTGTTGACCAATTTGGACCAGTTAATGACCATTTTTAACCACGTTGGACCAGCTAATAACCACTCAACAAGTCTGGACAAGCTAATGACCATGTTTAACCAGTTTAGACCAGCTAATAACCATTCTGTACCAGTTTAGACCAGCTAATAACCATTTTGACCATCTAGGTCCAGCTAATAACCATAATAAATTTGGACACGCTAATGACCATTTTTAACCAGTTTAGATCAGGCAGATAATGACAATTATTCACCATCTTGGTAAAGCTAATAGCCATTTTAACCAGTTTGGACCAGCTAATGACCATTTTCGTCCAGCTAGTACAAGCTAATGACCATTTTCAATCAGTTTGAGCCAGCTAATGGCTATTTTTGACCATTTTGGTCTAGCTAATAACCATTTTTGACCAGTCTGAACAAGCTAATGAGAATTTTTAACCAGCTGAAATCAGACACTGAAATCAAACTGAATTTACTATTTTTTTAAATAATTTGTAAAATAACAGATTCCAAGTTCTCAATTCCCAATCTTAAACATCAGAATCTGACTAATATTTACACATTAAATAGTTCTATTAAAGGTCACATGGTCATTCTAAGCATCTAAGAGATTGATTTCAGAGTTCGGTACGTTTGGATGATGTGTACGCCGTCTTCCGATCTTGGGTGCGCACCTGCGAACCGTACCAGAGTCCGCTTAAAAAGGGGGGTCTGGGGTACGGTTCATGTGAACTCCGGTACAGTTCGCTGCTGATGTGAACGCAATCGTACCAAATCGCAGAAGTGAAACGCTATTAATAACTTACTATTTGATAAAAATGTGTGTTTGTGTGCGTTTCACTCACTTTCCTGACAAGTGACTGACGCGCTGCAAGCAGAGAGTTGTATATCTCGGGGTGTAACAATACGATACGACACGGTGTCACGGTTTTGTTGTTGTTAGTTCAATCAATTGACGCCAAATTGCCGGTAATTCGATCAAAAATTATATGTTGAAATACTCAACAGATGTTTACTTCATCCATATTACAAGCAATATAAACAGCATATATGGTCAAAATTTGCCCTTTACCTTTGTTAGATCACATTTATGAATTAAAGTGCTACAACCTTGTGCGGGAACGGCAGGGGCAGAAACACAAAACTCAAGGCCAATGAGTCTGAGTTTGAAAAAATAATTAATAGTATAATAGTATAAGTGGCACTGAGAACATTATATTTCACACACGGTAAGATCTTTTATTTTCCAAATGTAATCGGATTAGTCCAACGAATCGTTCGGTTTGTAATACGTACCGAACCAAAAGCCGCGGTTCGGACTAGGGATGTTCATTTCGGTTATTTTTCCTAACCGACACCCGACGCTCGTTAACCCGACAAGATTATTTTAAATTAGAATTGAATTAAAAAGGATAAGTGTCTGTGACCAGTTTAAAATACTAACATTTGTTTCCCGGGGATTCATTTTACATGCGCAAAAAGCAGCAAACAAATTATAAATTAAGAAAATGTAAGAAAAACAAGTAGCCTAGTATGCAGAGTTTCGGTTCATTTTTGTGCTGCGCGAAAGGAAACCAGACGGCAGAAAGCGGCATCCTATTTTTCTTTAGGCTTATTTTACAAAAGCACAAAGATTTGATTTTATTGTGAATGTACACAAATAAAGGCAAACCTTTAACAATTGCGATTATCTTTCTGACTAAAAGGAGTAGTTTCTTTCACTGTTAGAAGGAAAAAAATCCAAGTGATTGTGCCGGATGCATGCACACAGTTAAGCTTTGCTACCTTGACAATGCAGCCTGTTCATTATCATAATAAAATACAGTCAGTCAAACATATGGAAAAAAAAATATGTAGTAAAAAAATTAATTTAGTAAAATCTGTTAAGCCGTTAAGGTTAAGTGGTATCACTGTACCGCCGTGATGTAAAACATTTTGTTTTACGTGGATATTGGAACACGAGTGAAGTACATAATAATTTGCCATGCAAATACATCGCGAATACGGAAACATTTGATTTTGTGTGGAATGAGAGACCCAACATTGGTTTCGGTTTGGTTTTAACCTAAATTAATTAGTTTTGGCTTGTCATTTATATTGCTATAGCTTCTTACATTTTTAATTCTTTAATTATTTTCTAAATACTGTTAATTGAAAGGATTTGTTGTGGAGTGAGGGGAACTAAAATAGCCTAGCTATGTTTAGTGTTTATTATAATGTTTGTAAACATTTCGCATCGGCATTAGGTCCATTTCTGAATTAAATAATAAAATGCGACTTATACGCAACTTGTTTTTCCCCCCCCTAAAAAAAATTTTTTTTATACGCGTAGCGTATTTTAACCATGCAGCAAACCGTTTGAAATATTTTGATAAATTACTGAAAAAATAAATAACTAAATGACTTTTTAAACCATTTAACTGATTGTATTAATCATCAAAATTCTTACCGTCGGTTAACCAGGTAAAATGAACATCCCTAGTTCGGACCAAATAAAATAATATGAACACAGTCCAGCAGGGGCAGGGGGAGGAGGAGCAATCGAACTCGGGTTCGGACCAGACAAGCGAACCAAATGTGAAAGCACCCTATGATGATCTACCAGGTCAGCCTTGGCCCTATTGGCTGGTAGTCTAGCTAAATCAACTTTGAGCAGTTTTGACAAACTAGAAGCCTAAAATTAGCTACTACCTTTTTATCAACATAAGCAGAAGATCGTGAAGACATCATGGAAATGAAACCAGATTCAGTATTTTTAAAATAATGGATTTCCAAGTTCTCGATTCCTAATCTCAAACATGAAAACAGCTCCATTTAGGGTCACATGATCATTCTAGGAGTCTAGGAGTGAAGAGATGCTCACGGGTTTCTCGATGAGTTCGATGCAGGGCTGCAGGTCGAGGCCGAAGTCGATGAAGCTCCACTCGATGCCCTCGCGCTGGTACTCCTCCTGCTCCAGGATGAACATGGTGTGGTTGAAGAGCTGCTGGAGCTTCTCGTTAGTGTAGTTAATGCACAACTGCTCGAAAGAGTTCAGCTGTGGAGAGGAACAGAAACTCAGTTACAGCTAGGAATTGTGGGTAATCCCACTGTAAGCACCCATGAAGCTGAAGGAATGTACTGTACCTCGAAGATCTCAAAGCCGGCGATGTCCAGGATGCCGATGAAGGAGGCGCCCTGACGCTTGGTCTTATCCAGAGCTTTGTTGATGCGCATCACCAGCCAGCGGAACATCCTCTCATATGTGGCTTTGGCGAGAGCCTCCACCGCAAACTCGGCCTGCTCCTGCGTCTGGGCCTTCTGCACGTAGTCGCGGCCCACCTTGATCCGGGGCGAGAGGATGGCGCGTGTAAAATCGGTCACGTTCATGCCCATCAGATGGCACACCTTCTGAGCAGCTGGAGAAGTGAAGGGAAAGTCGTTTAGAAATAGTAACTGATAACTCACAAATTGCTGGTTTACCTTCTCTACCTTCTCTTAGCCTGACTAAGATGTTCTACCAGGTCAACCTTGGCCTCATCAGCTGGTAGTCCAGCTAATTAACCATTCAAACCAGTTTGGACCAGCTAATGACCATTTTTAGCCAGCTTGGCCCAGCTAATGACCAGTTTTGACCAGCTAATGACTATTTTTAGCCAGTTTGGAGCAGCTAATGATCATTTTCAACCAGTTTGGACCAGCTAATTTCTATTCTTGACTGGATGGACCAGCTAATGACTATTTTTGTCTAGCTTGGACCAGCTAATGGTAATTTTTGACCAGTATAGACCAGCTAATGACCATTTTAAAAGCCTTTAATATCCATTTTTGACCGGCTAATAAACATTTATGAACAGCTGTAGCCGCTAATTACTATTTTTGGCTCTTGTGGAGCAGCTAATGACCATTTTTTGACCAGTATGTACCAGCTAATGACCATTTTTTGACCAGCTTGTAGCAATTAATGACCATTTTTGACCAATTTGGACCAGCTAATGATCATTTCCGATGAGTTTGGACCAGCAAATGACCATTTTCGACTAGTTTGGATCAGCAATTGACCATCTTCGACCAGTTTGGACTGGCTAATGACCATTTTACCTGTTTTAAGTAGGTAATAAACATTTTTGTCCATCTAGACTGACTACTGACTATTTTTGGCCAGTTTAGAGCAGCTAATGACCATTTCTGACCAATTTGGACACAGCTAATGATCATTTTTTTTACCATTTTGGAGCAGCTAATGACCAGTTTTGACTTGTTAGAAACCATGTAAAACTACCTGCTTACTTTATAGTGATAATATAGCCTGATGGGCGTGTTTGTAAAGCTAAAAAGATGTATTTACCTGTGTCATCAGGCATGGAGGCCTGGTCCGAGTGACGCTCCTTCTTAAAGGACATATTACCCAGCTGTAGCACAGACGACATGACCTTCAGCAGACCTGCAGGGGGCAACACACAATTAAAAACCTCAAACATACTGCAGATAATATTGTCATATTTGAAAACGGCAGTAAGTATATTCACCAATCTGTTCTTCCTCAGGGAAGCTCATGATCCTCATGGCCTCCATGGTCTCGAGGTACATGTCTCGGTCCTGTTGTCCTGGAATAGTCACGTTCCCATTGGACAGGAACCGGTACTTATTGTAGCTCTCCAGACAGAGTTCAGCTGGTGAGTGAAGAAACCAATCGAATCATTTACATTCATTCCTAATCATAAGTGTCTCATCCTACTATTATTAAGATTTTAATCATTTTTAAGCATCAAAAATCATGTATGAAAGCAGTGAAGAACACTCACATCGCAGTTTGTCTCCTGCGCCGGTCAGCATGTAGTAGAACATGTGGAAGGTTCTTTCTTCTTTAGCTTGACGGATCGCACGGGACTTTTCCAACAGGTCTGACGGTAAGAGTCAAGGACACACAACAGGACAGATGCACGAATATTCACATGAAGGCTTTTAACAGCCTGGGTCTTTTTAACCAGTCTCAATTCTTGCCTCATTAATTATTCCTGCTTTATATTTACACATTTAGCAGATGCTTTATGTTTGATGTAGAGTCAAAGAAACGTTCATTGGCCTTTTAACATTTATTAAAAATTAAATAGATAAACTGCGTTGAATAAGAAATTATATGTTGAAAATATAATATGCATCTCCAACAAACTGGGGTTTATCTGCATTTTTATTTTTTTTTGCTTTTAACTGGAGTGATTAGGAGATTCTCACAATTTATTACTTTAAAAATAGCAACAATAATAATTTTTATAATGATTCTGCATTTCCTTTATTATTATAATTAACAACCCAGATTTAACAATATCAATTAACAAAAGCTCCTTTTTCACATTTTGTTTTTAAACCACATATGAACTAGCTCATAAAGATACAGGTTTCAATATTGGCGCCGACGATGTACCCATTAACGTCAAAGTTGATTCTGATAAATTTGCCCTAAAACACAGAAAAGACAAAAGATAAATAACACGTAGACAGCCAGACTTATATGCGAAAAGTCTGCCATAACGCAAAGTCTTACGAATCGGGAAGAGTTGTCGTTCTTGACTGTCTTGGCATTGCCGAAGGCTTCGAGGATGGGATTGGCCTGCAGCAGCTGCTTCTCCAGCTCACCCTGCACTCAAAAACACACCAATCCACGACTGAGATCAGTTCAAACGAATCACGGCGAAGAGCGGATCACGTCTGGCTGTCAAAAGCAAAGCCCTTAAACACAACATCACAAGCTTTTTGCACACAGAGGAGCAAATACGCTGAAACAAACACACAAAGACAAGCATGTCCTGATCCCCAATCCCAAAACACCAGCAAAGTGAGCGGCCCATCACCTCGAAACTCAACAAACCAATGACCAAACGACTCTTTCATTTGACACTCATCTCACATCAACTTTCATTCACTTTAAAAGGAATACCCTGGATTAAACACAACCTCAGCTTTAAGCCTCATCTGGAGCCAGGATCATTATTGTAAACTAAAACTGAAAATAAAACAAAAAACAAAAATTTATAAAAACACTTTTTTTCATATTTTATTATTAGTTAGTTTCTGATGCAACATTTTTGTTTAGTTAAATTTAAAGTACTAAAATAGGTAAAACGAAATTTTTATTATAATTTTTTATGTGCCTATACATACATATAGCCTATAAAAAAGGCACATAAAAAAAAAAGTTTTTTTTATATTTAGGCACATAAAAAAAATAATAAAAATGACAAACACAACAAAATGACGGAGAAGCCTTGACGGCGGCAAATAAATATCAAATCATTATTTAAAACTACTACAAAAATAAATAAATAAAATAAATAAATAAATAAAAAGAGACAACGGAACAGGAGAAGATGGCATTCTTTCAATCTCCACAAGGACTTGTACCACGGCAGATCAACATTGTTTGTCGCGGACAACTACTGATGTATAATGCTTTAGTATAATAAATGATAAGACACTTGTTCTTTGCTTTGTTTTATTTTATTTTATATAAGAAGGCGTAACATTAAAATATATTAAAGTGCACATAAACACACACAAAACTCAAGTACATACGGAGGGAGGGGTTCTAGAAGACCAATCACCGCCACTCGCGGTCCGCGTAGAATTGACGCGCGGTTAGATTTTTGGAGAGGTGCACGTGAGGCTACGGCGTATGGGAAGGCGTCTATGCGTAAGCTACGGCGTAGGTTCGATGCAGAAGTATAAATTGGCTTTAGCCGTTGCCGAGCGTCAACCGATCCTCTCTTGTTCTTACAGCTGGTTACTACGCAAAATGGCCATGAATTACCATCAGAGATACATTACATAACTTACTGAAATGAATCAGGTCTCATTTAATCGATCAGTTAGTGCTTCAACCGCGGAAAGACGTCAAGAAAACCGCATGTAAACAATACGTCACGTAAAGTCACGACATTCGTTGTCCATCAACGCGATAGTTAGCTAGACAAATGAAATCTAGAAAGGAGAATTTCGCGAAATATATGCATTACATTACGTATTCATTATATTTAACGTAAACACTTACGTAACACTTTATTTTAAGGTGTCCTTGTGTCACGTTTTACATGCACTTATTATTTTAATAACAATAAACTATACATAATTACACGCAAGTAACCCTAATCCTAACCCTACCCATATATTAATTAATATTACAGTACTTAAATTTATAATTACTCTGTAACAAGGACACCTTAAAATAAAGTGTAACCAACACTTATTATAAATTTTCAGTGGCATTATTAAGTTTATTACAAAGACATTAAAATGTTTGTTTACAAGTCACTTTAATGTATTAAGTACCAGCTAATAGGGTCTATTGTATAATGTACACATTATTTGAATGATTTCTTCCTTTAAAAAAAAAAAAAACGACTTCGGCTACCTGATCGCCTGCATATTCAAATGAAGTAATACCAAATCGGAGATTTGTGAATCGAATCAAATCGTGACATTTCTCATTTCCCAGGCCTAATGATCACATAAATCTCAATTTGCACAATTTATCTGGGCAAATCTCAAGAAAACCGTCAGGATCATGATCATATTTAACCCCAAACAAACTGCTTTAGGTACAAAATAAATAAATTTTACATATTTTCTATTTTAAATTTTTTTTAATGAATTATTTAGTAAGTTTCAAGTATATAACAATATGCAAGAAATATGTATGCTAAAAAGAAAGAAATACTAAAATGAGGTTTACATCTGACTGAAATTATATGCAGAAATATGGTCCAAAAAATTAAATAAAGTATAAAATAAATGAATGAATGCATTTATATTTTAGTTAATTTTTAAATGTATTTTACAGCATGCAAAAATATGTATGGTCAAAATAAAAGATAAATATAAGGTTTCAAATCCGATTGAAACAATATGCAGGAATATGCAAAACGGGTTTGGAAAAATAAAATATAAAGCATAAAATTGAACACAAAAATAAGTAAATTAGATAAGAAAATAAGATTTTTTTTTTTTTTATAATATTTTATTTAGTTGAATTTTGAGATGGTTAAGCATCTCATTTCACTGACCATTTTTCGAAAAAAAAAGAAAAAAACCTTTAGAATATTTTAAAAAAAATCTTATCTTAAATCTTAAAGGGTGATGTGATGCTATATTTGGCTTGTAACATTACAATGGATGTCTTAAAATGTCTGGGTGGAGTAAACTGGACTGGGCTGTTTGTGAACGCTTTCCAGGCCTGATGCAGGACTTACAGCTTCTCTAATGGATTACCATGCTTGTGAATTGCGTTAAAAACCCTCCCAACCCCCAAAACAACCCGCATTCCTCCGGCTCGGCCTGATCTGATAAGACCATGTGAAAGCAGATGAAAGCAGGGTGGAGAACGACAACCAGCTAAATGCTAAATGAGGAAAAATGGCCTTCAGTCCACCGCTGATTTACATGAAGAACATCTCTGAAACCGAAAGACTGAACGGTCTCATGAACAACTAACCTGGTCTTTCTTGGTTTTGTGGGACGAGGCCACGTGTGCCAGATACTGAATGACCTTCTTGGTGTTTTCTGTCTTTCCGGCACCAGATTCACCCCTGAACATATGCAAACACACACATAAGTTGAAAAAAAAAAATCAACATCTTTAATGATTTCATTAGGGCTGTGCAAAAAATCTAATGCGATTTTCATGCGCATCTCGTCAGTAAAGCCGTTACATTTGCCAAATGGCAAATAAAAAGACAGTCTAATGATGACGAAAGCTCAGACCATAATAATAAATCAGCAGATTTTTACATTTAAAAAAATGTAATTACATATTTTGAAGGGCCCTTTTGAACTTTCTATTCATCAAAGAATCCTGAAAAATAAAATGTCTTCGATATTAATAATCAGAAATGTTTCTTGAGCTGCAAATCTGCATATTAGAATGATTTCTGAAGGATCATGTGACGCTGAAGACTGGCGTTATGATGCTGAAAATTCAATAATCCATCCAAAGCAAACCCCCTGAAGTGGATTAAACCTGTTAGAGAAAGGCTCTGATCGTGTATGAACATGAGCTGCTGTCAGACTGTAAGAGCAGCGGTTAAAGTGGGGCCGAGTCTCGCTGCAGGAGGCCAAATTAAAGCCTGACGGGGGGGTCCGGACAGCGCCGCGGGACAAACGCTCAACCAGAAAAATGCACACTTCTTGGACCCTTCTTGTGTGAAGGGTTGTGCAACATTCACAATCAAATCAAGATTTTTTTCCATTCATTTTTATTTGTGTGAATAAAGTTGAACCCACACAACAAACACTCATTTTTGATTTGGCACGTGGATTCTGTGGATTTTAAATGTAAATGTTTGTTTAAATCAACAAATACATGTGTCACAAAACTTTCCTATTTGTAAAAATGTATTTTTGATGTAACAAACAGAATGTAGAATTGCAATTGAAGTTTAATAAATAAAAAAAAATATATATATATAAATAAATATAACAAAGCAGAATTAAATGGTTGTTTTTAGTACCTATATAAAAAAAATATATATATTTTTTTTTAATTATGATTATTATTTTTTTATTCACACCAAGCAAACAATTTTCTTTCTTTTTTTCAATTTTCATTTTTGTTTCTTTTTCCTATTGGACCTTGGACTTTAACTTGAAATTTGTTTTGGCGTGTGGATTTGAACTATATATATATATATATACACACACTTTTGAATCAACAGACCCGACAAATTGCTACATATTACTTGAATTTTTCTCTGGCCTATTTGTAAATATTACTTTTGAAAAATAATTTGAACTGAGGTAACAAAAAGGATGTAGAACTGCAATTCAAATTTGAATTTAAGAAAGTAAAATTTAAAAAATGAAACTAATATAGCTGATCTAAGTGTAGCTTTTATTGTTCATTATATTAAAATATTTATAACCTAAAAAAAAAAATTATTAGCAATCATTTATTTGTGTTTTTTTATTATTATAGTTCTATGACTAACGCAGATTGGAACTTTAAGTCTCCTATTTCTTGAGATTGGATTTAAGGGGTAGATTATGCTTTATTTGTAATCTAACAATTTTCGAATTGCAATAGCAAAACTGACAAATTAAACATAATTTGGCACAGAGTGTTTTCTTGCGGTATTATAATTTATTTTTTAAAGGCATCTTGTTTTCATGGTTGTGTATTGCTCTGACAGCAGAGAAAAGCTGATCAAATCAATTTATATTTCAGGACATAAAGACGTATAATTAGTCTAAATTAATGATGTAATTATTTATGTTTTGACTGTGCTGGACTAATGAAATGACTATCGTGTAACTGCTAAATTTCTTTCAGTTGCAGTTCAGTCAATTCCTCTTCCTGTCATTCAAACTCTGCATCCTGTGGGACGAGTGTGTGTGTGTGTGTGTGTATACCCTGCATCATGCTCCTGTAGGCCGTGTCTGTGATGGCGTAGATGTGTGGCGGCATCTCGTGTCGTTTCTTGCCCTTGTACATCTCCACAATCTCCTCAGAGTAGATGGGCAGGTTCTTGTAGGGGTTGATGACCACACAGAACAAACCCGAATACGTCTGTGGAGAACAGAGACAGTCAGTCACAACCAGACCACACACACACACTCAACATGAACATCAGCATTCAAAGACTTAGGGTCATGTTTTTGAAAAAAAAGTCTCTCCAGCTCACCACGTGAAATAGTATTACAATTTAAAATAAGTGTTTTATATGTGAATGTGTTGTCAAAATGTAATTTACTCCGATTACATAACATCATTAACCTAATACAAATTCTGGATTTAGCAGAGAGCAAAATAACATTAAATTTACCGTGCGTAAACACATTTCACCAAACATTTTTTCCCACAAAATCTGTTTGCTAATGTTGAATTTGTCTACCGCAGTATAATGTAGCTACACTGCAGAAAGCACATGCGAGCAGGTTTCATTTGTTGCGTTGGTTATTTTTGCATTACGAAACCACAAGAACAAAATTGTAAGCAAAAAGGTGAAGTGAAACCCTTCAGTTGCGTGGTTACTCTAGTTACTGTGGTAATCAGGTTGAGCTATTCTAAAATGTTTTAGATAAGTTTTATATACTGTACATATTTTTTTTTTCTTTTCTGTTATCATAACTCATTTTGGCCTACAGCAAAAAATACAATTTTCTGAAGCAAATGCAAGTGGTTTTTGCCAATGTAACACTCGCCAAGGGACCTAAGAGGGGATTTGGATCAAAGAATTGCAACCTAGACTGGATCAACCAAGCCTGACTTATCTTAACCAGATCAGATGATCCTATCGGTGTCTAGTAGAGACTCGGATCAGACAGATGTCTTTTCTCAGACATGCTTCTGCTCCCCTCGTCTCCTTCTCCATCATTCTTTAACTTAACCCCCCCCATTCCCCCCCCATTACCCCC